TGACTGCGTTCCCTCATCCATTCTCCAACACCTGGCATGTTCTTCTGCTCCCCAGGGACCATGTACCATGCTAGGTGGGACATGTCCAAGGGGATTTTATTCTTGAGAAGCAGTGGGTTGGCTTTGATTTGGCTTCTTAGTTTTCAAAGTGCAGGGTAGGGGTAGTGGGGCCAGAGGACAGAGGGAGCAGCTGGGGTGGAGGAACAAAGCCCAGAAGCCCACCAGGATGGAGCCAAAGGAACCAGGACAGAGCAGAGAGAGGCTCTGGAGAGGCACCTTACCTGTCCCACTTTTCCGGGTTCAGCTGCCTGGGCTTGTTCCAAGGTCTTTGTTCAATTGCTGAGGAGATTGCCAGCCCATGCGAGATAAGGGAGGGCAAATTGCAGGGCATGGGGCGGAGGAAACTGGGCTCATCCCAGCTCAAGGATTTGTGAGGAAAATGTTGCTGTGGTGAGACCCCCCTGCAGTGCTGTGTCCAGCTTTGGAGCCCTCGGCACAGGAGAGACACGGACCTGCTGGAGCGGAGCCAGAGGAGGCCCCAGCAACGCTCCGAGGGCTGGAACAGCTCTGCTGGGAGGACAGGCTGGGAGAGCTGGGGGGGTTCAGCCCGGAGCAGAGAAGGCTCCGGGGAGACCTTCCTGCAGCCTCCAGGACTTCAAGGGGGCTGATGAGAAAGGTGGGGACAGACTTTTTAGCAGGGCCTGTAGCGACAGGACAAGGGATAACGGTTTTAAACTAAAAGATGTGAGATTCAAACTAGATCTAAGGAAGAAATTTTTCACACTGAGGGTGGTGAAACCCTGGCCCAGGTTGCCCAGAGAGGTGGTCGATGCCCCATCCCTGGGAACATCCCAGGTCAAGTTGGACGGGGCTCTGGGCAACCTGCTCTGGTTGAAGATGTTCCTGCTCATGGCAGGGGTTGGACTAGATGGCCTTGACAGGTCTGTTCCAACCCAAACTATTCTATGATTCCATGACCTTCTCAGGGGAGAGTCCCCAACGGGGGGTATGGGTCGGCAGGAGGTGACCACCAGTATTACCCCAGAGCACCCCACCAGCCCTTCAGCCCCCTCGGATGCAGTGGGGCCAGTGGGGATGGAGCAGGAGGCTGTTGGCATCTGGTGTAGTGGGAACCCATAGAGCCAGCAAGGGTGCTGTGGGGGGAGCGGGGCGGTGCTGTCGGGCCTGCGTGAGGCACAGGTACTCCCTGTGGAGCCCTGCCCCTACCTTCTGCCCCACTGGGCTGCTGGCCCCACCTGTCCCCAGTTCTCTCCCTCCTCTTGGCCAGCAGCTCCATCCCATGCCCCGATTTGTGGCTTGCCACAGAGGCAACGGGTGAGCAGGCAGGGGCAGACAGGAATGCAGAAGGGAAGCACACCAGAGGCCACTGGTTGCAGAGAAACACGCTTCATTGCACATGGCCACCAGGACTGCGAGACTGGTGGCAGGAGACATCATGGCGGCGGCAGGGGAGCCTCAGAGCAGGGTGCAGGCACCCTTGCGCTTCACCTCGGAGGCAGCCCGGACAATCCCCAGCTTCTGCTGGCTGTAGGGCGGGTAGCGCAGGGTGTTGAGGGCCTCCCGGCCCATGTTGCGGTGCAGGCAGCCACGGTGGTGGGTGAAGGTATCGAAGGTGAACTTGCCGTGGTACATCCCCAGGCCGCTGTTTCCTGCAATGCACAGCATTGACCAGGCTGGGTCTGGCCATCACCCACCCGCTGTTTGGGCCAATGAGCCTAAAAGTAAGCTCCCAGCTCCCCTCTCAAGGGCAGCACGGAGGAGGCGCCAGTGATGGAGACCGCTTCCACCCGTGGATGGCATGACATTCTCATCCAGCTGCTTTCTAACACCAAGGTTGGCGAGGAGGGCTGGCCATGGCCAAGCTTACCCGGAAAGCGATCTAAAGAGGACCATGGAGGTGGCCTGGCTGGACACCCAAACGGAGGATCCCCCAGCAGGACGAGAGCCTGCAAGCACAATGTTTCCTGTAGCTGGAGTGGGAAGGCTTCATCAGTAGGCTCACCGTGATCGGGCAGCCTGTAGTAGACACCAACCACAAGGTTCCCTTTGTTGCCTCGGTCTCTGATTCTTACCCATAAGCTTTCAGCCTGCTCGTGGCCATTCCTCAGAGACAGCTCTTTGCACTCTATTCATTTCTTGATGTAGAGGACAAAGCCTCTGCCCTTCCTTCCTCACCCGTTCTGAACAGCCTGTAGGCATCGATAGCTGCACTCTAGTCGTGGGACTTGTCCCACCAAGTTTCAGTAATGGCAACCATGTCGTAGCTTTCTAGCAGCACGGTGGCTTCTAGCTCCTGCTGTTTGTTGCCTGTGCTGCATGCATTGGTGTAGAGGCACTTCAGCTGGGCTGTTGGCCGTGTCACCCTCTTAGAGGAACCCCTTAGTTCCTTTGAGGTCTTTCAAGGAGCGTGTGTACATTTGGGGTTTCATTGGAAATTGTACTGTCTTCAGACCCAGAGTCCAAAATGGAGATCCATGAAAAACTGAAATTCTGAGTTCCTGAAAACTGGATAAGTGACAATTCCCAAGTTTTCTCCTGCAGAGGAAAGGGGTAGCACAGCAGTGGCATGGGTGTGACAGGCTGGCTACCAGCACCCTACAGAGGCACTGGATGAGGACAGGAAGGTCTACAGATGTTTCTGTGGTGGCCACATTCAAAATTCCCTACCTTTTAAACAAGACTTTTCCATGTACTCAGGGAACACTGTGCTTGGAATGGCCAACATGGAGAGAAGAAACCTCACAGTGCTCCACACGTGTTCAGCAGAGACAGGGCTGCAAAGCCCGAGAGCTCAGCCCTCATGCAGTGAAGCAAAGGGCTTCTGATGGGGTCCTGCCTGGTGCAGAAGGATTTCCC